TGCAACAAACAGGTCTATAAAATATCAGTTCAATGTTCAGAACAGGTCTTAAAAACATCCAAAAACCCTGCCCCAAAACTCCAAACCAAAAATACTGTGATATTGGAATTATCAGAAAAGAACACAGAAGAGAACAAATCACTGGCACCATTTTGTTACTTGTAACTCCTTAATACTCTTGTATTTTTAATACTGACTGCTGTTCTGTCCTCTTATCTCTCACCCAAATATAGGGAAAAATGACACCCAGAACAGCAACAGGCTTTCAAGGCACAGAATGGCAACAATAAATGATGGATATTAGGACTTCTTAAGCTTACAGGGAAGAAAAGAGTAAAAGCTCTCTGAAGTCATGAGCATTAATAAAGGGAGCAGAAAACAACTGTCAACAGTAACATATGAATTTAAAGGCATTAATTAATAAATTACAAAATTTAATTTCTGAATGATGATGTAGACACAGGCGCAGCAAGCTTTCACAAGTTTAAAAATAAATCTATGCAGAAATTTCATGAAGAGTTATTAAAAACAGAGTTGGCACTTCTGGCACAGGAAAATTGCAACATGAATAGAAACTGGTAGAACAGACCAGAGCATACTGTGATTGCCCTGCCTTATACTCTTCTGGTATCTGCTATTGGTCACTGTCAGGCACAGGACAAGTAAAATGGACTTTCACCACGACTCAAGGACAGCTGTTCTTAATGTTCTCAAATACTTAATTTCAAGGGACAAAATCTCCATCAGCATTTAAAAGAGACTCCAAACATGGGAAAAATGGTGGAATGCACTCTGCTCTCTCACTTCACCGATCATGACTGAAGAACAAGAAAAAAAACCCCTGCAAACATAAATGATGCTCTGTCAAAAGCAAACCACATTTCTTTAGGAACCACATAGTGCATTTACATCTTAACCATCAGTTCTCACTGGGAACTAACCGAAGGGGCAGCTGCAGTTCTTCACATCTCTCACCAACTCTATCCTGCATCAGACACAGTGCCGAGCTCTTTGACTCCCTTTAAAACTACCACCATACACATTTAAGTTTAGGACTAGTTGTGTCTTTCCTGGCAGTGCTGCCATATATTTAATGAAACACACACATCACCTCAGAAAATTCCCTCTATTAGCAGATATTTCATTTGGTGAGCAATTTTCCTTTTTGCAACTTAGAGCATCCCATAGGTCAATGTACAAAGCTGCAAGATCGTCACAGGATGTCTCTGTTCAAAATGAATGCACAGCTACTCCAGCAATTTTAAGGAATTATCACAGTTCAGATAATAAATAGATATCCAATGCTCAAACTTAGTGCTCATTATTCTCATCTTATTTACTAGAGACAAGGAGCTGGGGGGAAAAAAGTTACCTATACGGTCAGTGGTGGTAATGCACAATCACAGAAAGAAATAAACTCGGATGTTCATGAAATATATTGCTGACTATTTGCATGACACTAAGGACTAAGATTTTGCTCTGAATCTTTCCAGTATTCTGTATCCCCATAGGTCTTCAATCACCTCCTGTGCCTCTTCTGAAAGATGTCTTTCTACAGCTTGTCTACAAAAAGAATCTCAATAGTAAGGGAAAGTGTAATTTCATGTGACCATATGCATACACTTGTTCCTGCCCGCTCCCATAAACAACAGAGCTGTTAGTGAATTATTTTATAAACACTGGAAGACACCACCTTCACTCAGAACACCATCTTATTATGAAAATCCTAATTTTTAATTCTTTGTTCACACAACTTCATTACTAAACCCATGAAGTTAATGAGATTATTCACATGCCCTAAGCTAAGCAAGCATACAGAGTGTCTTCTTGTATTAAAAGCTTAGTTGAAAAAGTGGCAAGAAAAACAGCAGAGGAATTATCCTAATAAAGACATCAGATTTTCTGTGGATTAGAATTAAAGCAGAACTGTGTGTCTTATCTCACTTTCCCCTGGTGTTGACCAAATGCTCTGCAATCGTCTTGATAGTTGAGCTGAACAATCAGGAGAAACTGCCAATGCACCAGGATGACAGTGGAGTGGGACAGACACCAGCCTAAGTCTTGAGACATGAACTCAATTTCTGTTCTCATCAAGAATCTTCTTTGCACTCCTGGACAGGCTACCTCAAGAAGGGCCCGACTGTTGCCTAACTAAAAGTCTTTTCTCTAAAGCAGAGTAGAATAAGGATTTCTCAATGAAATACATTAACAGCAAAAACAAACAAAAAAGTCCTTATACCAATGCTACTAAAAAAACAATGACCCTCTTTTTTTTGTTCAGACAATAATTGTTCAGAAACAGAATAAGCATTTTATCTGAAGATCTACAAACAACTTAGTCACTACACAGCATCAGTATAAAGATTTTCAATTGGATACTACATGAAATTTTAATATAAAACAGAAAATAGAAAATATTATGCAGCCTTCATAACAGAGTAATCTGCCACCTTGAGCTCTAATATGCCTTCATTTCAACAAAATGGACAAAAATGGAAAAGGTTCCAAATCTTACGCTATTGAAATGTATGCAAGTTGTGCAGTTCACAGGAGTCACATTTCATTCCTTAATGTAAAAGTCTTTAGAAGAGAGAGATCATTACTCAACACCTACATGCTTTGAAAAATACAACAAATCTCTGAAGTGACATTAACATTGCTCCATTGTCAAATGAGTCATCTTTTTCAGCAAGTAAGCTCAAATTGAGATAAAACATTGAGAGATGATATTTTAAAAACAAAGACTACTTTGACTTCTATCGTAAGAAATGAAATTAAATAATTACTGTTATCTTAATTTTGGCATTTGGCAAGCGACAAAACCTCATCCAAAACTGTAAATGTCCATTTACATAACTTGAGCTCAAAGTTCACTTTTCATACTGGAAAAGTCTGCTATGTGTCTAAAAGAAATAATTTTTTGGAAAAGCTTTTCCCATGCTTCTATTTGATCAGTCAACGCAAGGTATGATTTTTACATGATTCATGTGAATAAATGTCTATGTTTCACTTCAAGGACTTGCCAAAATGTCTAATGTATATGAGCAACTCCATGTGTCAGCAGACCAGAAGAAATGTCTATAAGGTAAGGTGAGTGCCAAGGCAAACTCAGCAACAGTTGCTTTTTTAAAATCTTGAAATATTTATCTTCTACAGCAGCCACATGTCTGCATGGAAATAATTAACAGGTAAAAGACACACAGAAATCTGCACATGACAATTTATCAAAACTTTCTACTTACCCTTCACTCTTCACATGTAAGGCTTACCCAACCTATTCTACAGCTATACAGCAAGGAACTTCCACTTTGCATTTAACATTCTCCAATTCTATTCTCAGATCTTAAGAAATCCAACCATGCAACTGTTCTAATATTTAGAACTTATGCTTCTAAATATTACAACTTCTTGGATCTTCATAATTCTGTTACAGAGAAAATCCAAACTAGGTAATAATCTTGCATTCTACTTATTTAAATATATCATTTTGTTTTATAAAACCATCCAACAAACCACTCGGATGACGATAGCAATGTTGCAACAGCTGAAGAGTAAAACTGCCAGAAATGCACACTTCAAAGATCTGTGGTCCAGAGAAGTCATTGTAATATGGTGCTCCATTTTCCACTGGCGTCAGCAAAAGGTCATAAAATGCACCTTGGTGACCTGTTCTTGTGACTACACTGTAAATGGTTCCATGCTGGTTTACCATGGCTCTTACGACTTAGTGTCTCTGAAACTCTTTGGGCCATACACTCATAAAATCCACCATTTACTGTGGACAGATACATTTCTTGTGCTCAAAACTTCTTGAGCTCAAACTTCTACTGCTCCAGGGAGAGTGAAAAATAAGAATGAAGAACTGAAATAGTTCTTTTTACTCTTGCACAAAATCTCTCAGTTCTATCACTGCTAACAGACAGACTTAAACTTACCTGTTGTCCGAGTGTTTAACTTGGTACTAAGGTTTTCAGATGTGTTGCCTTGAAAGCAACTTTCCAGTGATTTGGGGTGTTTTTTATTGTTGCTGCTTGTTTTTTAATTTGTTTCGTGGGTTTTTTTAATGGTTTACTTACTTTAACTGATGGCACTTGATCTACATCCAGCTCTGGCATACCCTAGTTAATCCCAGTTATCTGTGTTTTTGTGGGTTTTCCCCTCCTGAATAGAACAGCCCATCAAATAAGCCTACCAAAGAAAGGGAGAGGTTCAACACACACCTAGGAAAGTCTACCTGAGACTGCCAAAACATCTGCAATAGCCCAAGTATTACATTTACACAGAAGTTTACCCAATAAACAGTTGTTCAAAACCAAGTAACACAAACATATACCCTCAATACTTTCCAACATGTCACATAAAATTTTGAAACTCCATAGTTGCTTCATATTTCTAATTTTATCCTTGTGTGAAAAAACGCATGAAAACATATTGCAACAAGTTTCTCTAGACTTTTATTTTGGCATCTAATAGCTCACTGTGGCTTCCACAACCAGTATTTGAAAAATGCTTAAAAGAGCAGTACAGTCTGCCTCACATTTTGTTCTATACGATTGGCATGCTTTATGCATTTTGATTCAAGAGCTGGTAAAGTGTCCCAGACAATAAATCAAAATAGGTGCTATTCAAGCACTACCTAAGTGTAGTCACAGCTAATCTTTAAGTAAGATAAAGCATTAGGAATACAATAGACACATGGCAAACTATACTGGTCTTTTAAATACCGAATATTCAGGGAAATGAAACAGCTGAAAGGCCCAATCTAAATGCTACTAAGACTGCTGGAAAGATTGCTAGTTATAACCTTGTCTTTAAAATCAGTGTTTAAGCAGGTATTACATCACGTCTTCTCATCATGAAATGAAGGTAACATAGGTTATTATACTAGGAAACTAAAGGAAACAAACAGTAATACAGACACACATTTTTCCACAGTGAGACAAATAGTTACAATTTCAAACATCAAAACATTTCAGTTTAGAATTATCTTTTAAACTTACTGTATTAGTTGAATCTTCTTGTAAAATTCTATCATATAACTGGATAGCATCATCATACCTGTTCAAAGAAATTGTTTGCATTTATTTCTGCTAAGACAGATTTCCTGATTTTTTGACTGTCCTTGCAATAGTTAATAACCCACCTGCACTTCTTATACTGAAATATAATACACATATACTAAGCAAACTATATTTATAAGAAAATCTTTTGAGTGAGTGCTAAATATCAACAGCAGTATTTCATGTTACCAAGTTAAAAAAACCACATGGTAATTATTTCATGGAATACTGTTTCAGCAGCAACTTAGATATTCTATACCCAATATCTTAGTCTCCTGACCTCTCTTTTTCTATACCAAACAGATCCAACCATCACATCCCTACACTCCCTTTCCCATCTCCCAAGAAGCAGAAACTCCAAAATTTGAAAGGCAATCCGAAATAATGACATTTCACTTCACTGTTGTAATTTAAACCTTCATGTAAGTTTTTTCTGTTGTGACTTCTAAAAAGTAAAAGCAGCTGCATACATCAAACTGAAAAGATTCACAGAAGAATCTACCCCAGACTATAACATAAGTCTTGAAAGAAAATGTTTTCCACCATGTTTTTTTATATATTTTTTTTAATTAATTAATTCTGCTATTTGAAGTATGCTCAAAACAGGTTACTTCAGGCGCTGTGAGCACTTCAAACGTTCTGGGAAAGAGATCTGTGTGTTCAGTCAGCAGTGTACATGACCCAAACTTGACAAATGAAATAATTCAATTCAAAACACCTTTGACTACACAGCTGTTGTGCTATCACCACAGAACCAGGGCATACATTGTGTCCTCAGGTATAGTTTAACAAGCTGTTTTTCAGTGGTACTGCTGATTGATTTTTGAGGATACACATTCCTTCTCACCTCGGACATTCATTTACGTACTCTCACTGTTCTGTAGGCACTGCTGCCATAAGCACAGCTCAGCTGTCCAGTCCAGTTACCATAAAGTATGAGAGGAAATGTGAAAGGAAGTACAAAAGCAGAAACGAGTAGAAGGTGACTGGGACAGACTTTAGCAGATGTGCTGTAAAATGCTGTATTCGTGTTCTCTGTTAGTTGCTACCTTATCAAATGCATTTTAGAAGACTGAACATGATGGCCATAATCCCAGCTTGACATGGTGAAGTTCCAGGATATCATTATTTTGATTAGCAAGTGTCTACAAGGATGTCTCAGTCTATGGGGATGTTCTTCATGGTTTCCTCTTCCTATTGGGGAAAGCAGGACCCTTCTCAGATCCTACAAGTCACTTAGAATTTAACAAGAAGTTCCCTTCTTCAATTGAAAATATGACCTAAGTTTTCCTAGACTTCTTCTATAGTCAGTGGAGACAGACAGGCTTCACCAGGGCATGGCTTAGAGCATCTGCAGATGGATTCCTGTTCAAGACAACCCAAAGCTGAAACCTCTGTCTTTCACTTCTAGAGAAAATCTATGAAGATGAAACCTCAGCTTTTGTTAATGCCTCTGCTCCCTGATACTCCAATCTCAAGGATCTATCCTGACAGAGATCTTTTGTCAAGTAATTTGATGAGCACTTTCAGAAAACTGTGGCTTAATAGCACTTCACTACTGAAACCACACGTAATGTTTGTGCAACAGTCATCTCCCTCAAAGACATGTTCCCATGCAATAACATCTTCAATGCAGTCACATAAGCCTGAACTGAATTATGATCTATTGTACTTCTGAATAGGTTTCAGGAGGGGGAAAATCTGCTGCCATTCTCTCACTGTCTCCCTATCCTATATAAAATGAAGACAAGAGAGTTAAGATTAATGGAACTTCTTCAAGAATACACATTTAATATAAAGCGAGTGTGAAACCTGAAATATCTAGTCACCTTGAGATGGCTCCTGTGGATGGAGTCCAGTTATTCTTTCTTTTTCATTCATGCAGTGGACAATCATTGGTGGCTCATATCAAATACCATTTTCAGAATGTAACAGAAGAACATTTGCTAAATAAAGATCTTTTAAAAACGCATTTAGGGTGTACTTCCAACTCCTCTGTATCAAGATGGCCCAAAGGCTCCAAACCTCACCAACTCTGTATGCAAAATGGGGCACAGAACAGATCTGCCAGTATTCAAAGGCACTGAAAGCCGGAAGGCCTTCTCAACACCCAAGACAAGGGCTTCAGAACAGAACGTTGATATCAATTATGTAACCAAGGAAAAGGTGGACAATAAATAATCTGTTCACTATTTTAGTAATTCCTTTTAAACTTCGTATGTTATAACCATTCTATAGGATATTTCAAAAAGGTCAGTCTGATATTTAGGTTCTGCCATTCTACTCTGTGTGTTTTTTGAGTTGTTTCTGTAACAAACTCCATAGATTTAATCCTTATTAAGTTCATTTACCCACACTCAGAAAACAAGGGTAAACAGCTGCACCCTGCAGTAATGAGGAGCACAGAACAATAATTAAGGCGAAAAAATGATGGCACTGATTTTCATATGCTTCTCTAGCTCTAAGAGATGAAATATATACCTCACAGAATTTGCCAAAAAAGTGTGCAGTGTTTTACTGTCAAGTAAGAGATCTTTCTGGCCTAGGAAATCTGATGGGAAGATTGCAAAAATGAAACACTGCACAGTACCTGCAAAAATGTAACAGAGATGTCTAAAAATTATAATATGATCGTGGTACCACTGTTATTTCCAATAAAGAAACTGCCCAGCATTGTTTTGCCATGACTTTGCCATGACTTCATGTTTTGCCTGAATGTTTTTTTAAGAAAGAGCAAACACTTTTCCAGACAGAAAGTATATTTTTTAAAAATCAGTTTTTACCTTTCCATAGCTTCAAATCGCATTCCAGTTAATCGTTTAACTCTGTGGCTCCCAGGAAACTGCCGCCTTAGTTCCTGAAGACAAAACTATACAAAGAACCAAAAATACTACTGTGAATACAAACATCTACACAGAAGGAGACAACAAAAGGAAAAAAAAAAGAAATAAAAAAAAAGGCCTTGGCTGATAATTCAACAACCTGGAATGGCAGTTTTAAGTAAAAGTAAATACCAACTTTTGATATAAGCAACGCATTGATAAAGAAAAAGTCAGAAACAGAAACTCTGATAGAAGACTGGTTTTAAGAAATATCTTCCATACAGGTCATTAGATTCTGAGGTCTCCTTGGAAATAGTTATTTGCCTAGAAAATTAAACTCACCTATTAAAACAGCCCTGATACTATTAAAACTTTAAGTCTTCTCAGTTGCTGCGTAATAACACAACACAGTAAAAAAACAAAATAAAGACAGTAAGAGCTTATGTGATACTTCTTTAATAAATGGATATCTCACAATGGAACAAACTATGCTAATACAAAGCTCTGTGTTTATTTTTAAAATAAAACTTTGAAATCCAAAGAAAATGTTTGTCACTGGCTTGGGTACAGCCCGCTGGAAGAAGAGGCATAGGTTTTAACTCCTGAAATCAATGAGACACCTGGGATGGATAAAAAGAATTCATCACAGGAAGATTTCTCTGGATTAGTGAAAAAGGATGTTTGGTAGAGGGACTGAGTCATAACTTCCCCAGAGCAAAACTAACTTGTAACCGTATCATGAACGTGGCTAGATATCTAGCATTGCAGAGTTTGTAGCTGACTCGTTATGGTGGGAGGCAGAACAGTCCACAGGCTCTCAAAGACACCAGTGGTTTGAATCACGTTAAAACCTTCACACTGAATCCTCCTCTTCTAGACACTTTATACAACTCAGCTTTGAAACTTGTTCTTCAGAGCTGAGGTTCTAGCAGAGGCCTATCGACATAATCTCTTCCATCTCATCACATCCACTGGTCAAAGGAAAAAGTACAGAAGTAACAGTTTGTTTTTGTAAACAGGTTGCTAGAGTACATCCAAGAGGAATATTCACATCTCTCCCAGATGCTAAAAAACAAGGATGAGAGAAAGGAAACAGTAACCAAAATAGTAATGCTTAGCCTCAAGTAAGCATAGACTATTTTTATCACAATCAACTTAGTTACTCTAGAAAAGTAGTTTCACTTTGGCTTTTAAAACCCAAACAACATTATAGGCTTTAAAAAGAACTTTTGTGGACAATAAATCCACCTGTGGTCCAGTGATCAGGGAATTCTGAAGGATGGTGATTTTTAATATAAAAACACCTACTACTCTTCTCCAATAAAATGTTCAAATAACAAAAATTGTAACATTTACAAAAATTGTAACATGACAATACTGAACTCCAAAATCTGCAGATGGGCATTTACATTTAAAAAAATCTCACTGACAATATGAAAGAACTAGTGTTCAAGTGCAGGAGTCATACATTAGATCTGACTACACAATCACTACCCAAACAAACACAGCAGCCAAAAGGCCAAAATAAACTCCCGCAGATTACACTACCAGACACAATAAAGTCACAGGAAAAGTTGTGAGAAAGTCATGAACTGCAACACAAAACAAAAAGTGCATGAATTAACTACATCAGCTACATCTTCAAAATGTTCTGGACTCAGCAGCACTGAATATCCTCTTTTTAAACTTAATTTGTAATCCCCATAATCATTTATGTTATTGAGGACTGGTTCTGCACCACATCAATAATCTACTTTCGAGATTCTCTCAGAAACTCAGCAGTTACAATGGTAAATGTCATTTGTATGTGAAACTTTAATTTGCACTTAATTTGCATTCTGACTTCTAAGTCACGGGTTTTAATTTTAAAGGTCTGACAAAGGCAAAGAAATATAAACCTGAACTTCAGCAGGTAAAACACTGGTAGTACAAGTGCTGCCAAGGTGATTGCACTAAAATGTGCGTGAAACAACTGGTTGATTGCAGCAGAGACATGCATTACACAGTCAAGTTTGTGCAGGACAGAAAGGAAACGAGGAAAGAAAAAGAAAAAACAAAAGTCAGATAAACCACTCTGAAAACTACCTCAGTCTTCTCATTTGGAGTAGATGAGACCTGTCCCCCTAAGCAAAATGCATCACAGCTGTCAAGAGCTCACTGCTGAAAAAACCAGAAGTTCCAGAGTTGTTTGTCTACTTTGGAGCTACAGCAGCAGTAAAATGCCACGTATGATGTTGACTTGTTTGAATTAACTACTTTATTATAAATCAGTCAAATTAAAAACTAAGAAACAAGCCTAAGGTTTCCCTCTAAGCTTTTAACCTCCTTTCTGAGCTGCATATAAAACGTTGCATTCCCTCATCTCATTATTCCTTAAAGGGCACAGAAACTGAAATTTAAAATCCCTGCCAGGGTTAGTAAAAACAAAGAGTGTTTCACAACTGATCTTTCAACACTGGCTCCTTCAACAACTTTGTGAAAGTCTTCCTTAAAAGACCCCGAAAATAAGACCAAAACCCTTTTACATATAAATCAGGACACAGAAATGTATTTATTTAATCAGTAAGTCTATTTGTTTTTGTTTAAACAGACAGTTATACTACATTAGTATTTTCTTCTGAGGAACAAAAGAGAGGGAAGCTCAGCGGGTTCACAACAAGTTCAAAGTCTTGTGCTGTATTTTCCAGCATACTCCATTTTACCATATGCATTTCGGATGCAAGATAAACTTGTTCTGCCTACTTTCAAAATGGCCTTCTCCCAACTGCATCCTCTAGTCTGACTCCTTGCATTAAGTTTCACCCAAATGACATGAAGCTCAAAGACTTCATGAGGTATTTTGCCATCTGACTGAGAACAAGGCACTGGAGAAGTAATCCCCATGAAAGATATGGAGTCCTGGAAATGTCTTTTTACTTACAATAAGCTCAAGTTTGATGTCTTTAAGGGCACAAGACAAGCCTCTGGTTTCTTCTAACTGTTGTGTGAAGGAGGGGTAAAAAGATTATTAAAATTTTTCTGCAAAATACACTTTTCCTTTTTTCTGTTGATGCCTTTAAAGGATTAGTTAAGGTTACTTGGGGTTTCTTTTTGATTCTTTTTTGTTTTTTTTATTTTTAATCTAACGAACAGGTGTTATAGTTCAAAATAAACTAATTTTATCTAAATTGTTATTTGTATCATTCAAATAAATTTGCATACAAATTGATAAAACTCAAATATCCATTAATAATACTTTTATCAACAATCACTTAATAATTTGGATTGCAAGGGCCCTTTGCAGTTCACTGCTCCAAATCCCACTCAAAACAGAGCCAGTTTCCAAGAAAGTGCAGGGCCATATCCCAATCTATTTTTATGCATTTCCAATAGAGATTCCACAGCTTCTCTGTGCCCTTTATCATAAAGCGTTCACTAAGTTTTTCCTAATATCTAATTGGAATTTCCTTTGTTTCAGCTTCTGTCTCACACTCTTTTTTCACATCTATAGAAACGTGTCCACCCTTTTTTATGCCTTCCCATTAGTACATATTCAAAGACAGCAATAAAATCCCTTCTTGGCTTTCTCAAGACTTAACAAACTCAGATCTCAGCTTTTCCTTATACATTATGCAGTCCAGCTCCTTATTCATCTTGAAGACCTGCTCCAACATGTCAATGACTTTCTTTGATGGTAGCCAACATAACACATGATATGTATGAGTGGACATTTTACCTCAAAACATTCAGAAAACCAATATAATTTGAGAGGTTTTCAATAAACAAACACTCTCTGTACAATATGGTAACTTCAATATTATTCTTGACATTTAGCCCATACCAGAGTAGCTGTAAATATTTTCATGGCTATTGGAAGAGATGTGGTCTGTCTAAACAAAAGTTACACATTAGAGAAGGTAGGTGGTGGCGGTTTCTTCCCAGAAGTGTATTTCTTGATAGATATTCTTTCCACCAGTCCAAGCTATGGAGTTCAGAATATCCAAAAAACTATCTGGAAGAGATACCCAGGACAAAAACGCACAGTGTGAAGGAAAAGTCAATGTGAAAACTTACCAATGCCAGATCATCTCGACTGCAGTCCAGGGCAGCAATCATCACCTGTTCATAAATTATCCAAACTGGACAAAAAAGAGACAATAAATGAAGATAATTGGTTTTTGCTTTTTTTTAAGATAAAAGGAAACACCTATAACATAAATAGGATTCATGAATTCTGTCTGTATATTTTTCCCCTTCTACTCTCATGGACCACTGCTGAAACAACGACAAATTAAGAAACTGCTGGAATTAATTAAAAATATATTTAATCAATTTAGTGCTTTTAGTACTAAAGTACCTTCTGACATCTTGAAAGGCAAAAAAGCTCTAATTCTCTATTTTTCCCAACACTATAATTTCAATCTTCTAAACAGGTCCCCATTAGGACTTGCTCTCTGATCAGACCTGCAGAACAGCCACTTTTCAATTTTTGCCACAGTGCTGAAGAACAGAAAATCAGTCAAATAATGGCTAAGTAACAAAAGTTTTCATATAACAGTCCAACTACAAATATAGCAAGCTAACAGTTCTATCAGGTAATTTTTACATCTGTTTTCTCTGCAGCCCATATTTGGGAAAAAATATGCCTAACAGACTAAGAAAGTAATATATATTTTATCAATATCACATACAGAAAGACAACAAAAAGGCTGTTAAATAAAATAGAGACCAGAAAGAGATAATCAAATAAGACAATGGGAATTTTAAAAATAATGGTTGTTTACGCACTGTCATCTCCAAGTTTAGATGCATATTCATTAATTAACTCTTCTCCAACATCCACTATCTGTTCACTGTTTCGGTAGTTTTCTTCCCTCCATTTCCTCATTTTATCACGCATATCTGTGGGCAAAGGGAAGAAAAAAAATTATATTTGCAGATAGTAATAGAATTTTAATGTGATTTCTGGGAGATATGCATAGGAAGAATGGGTTTAGAGAGCAACAGACCTAAAACGTGACTCCTACTAATATTAAAAAAACTACTAGAGAACAGATAGGTGTACCAGACCTGTGAAACCCTATTACACAAACTGTGCTCATGCTCTAATATAATCAATCCACCTTCAAAGTTTGCAGTCTCTCATGAAAGCAACATATGCACTAAAAAACCCTATACCTAATTATCCAATAAATAAAATTTATCCATGATTAGGTAAAATAGGCTACAAGAGATTTCTTCCAAGTAGTTTCACACATTTACAAACAACACTAAAATTGCATTTCTGTTACAGGTGAATAAATTTCCTATTGAAGTATTAGAAAAACTATTATAACTTTCACTCTAAAATGAACCTAGACACTCATAGAGAAAGGAGCTCCAAGAAGGGCAGACATGGAATTGAAGGCTTTCTATACCAGAGAAATGCCCAAAGGTATAAAAAATATCACTGTTTATCTAGGTAAGACAGAAAAGATAGTTTATTTTAGCATTAGGATTTTTGTTTCAAGAGTACATTTACTATGCATCAGATCTCCAAGAGAGCAGGCACATTCATGAAGTCAGCTAAAGAGCACTACCTAGCCTAGGTTTTATCTATCCTCTGGACCAGGACATTGCTAAGACTGTGATTTTATATACACATACATTTATATACATGTAGATGATCTATATACAAGAACAGATTTTGAGGAAACGTAAGGAAAATAGTTTTCATTACTAGATAGTGGCTTTACTAATAAGAAGGTACCAGGATAACTATTGCCAATATTTTTTAAAAACTTTACAACAGCTGGAAAAACAAATACAACGATAGACCTAAACACTGTCAGTTTTTCTTGCACTTCAAAACACAGCTAATGTAAATGACAGTTAAAAATTAAGCACTGAATGTTGTTCCATCTACCTGAAGTGATCTCGGTTCACTCATAAGACTGTTATTGTGCTACATTTTGTATTTTGAAATTCAACCAAAACCACCACAGTGTTACATTTCATACGCACAGGCAAAGTTAAATGGTTCTAGACACATGATGGTCCCTGGAAATTCAACGTTAGACAGCAAGAATGTGAGAGAACACAAACATTCACAAAAGCTGACAACTTAAATGCCTAAAAATAAATAAGCTGTCTGATTTCCACACACTCATTTACTTGGAAATTATCAATCCCTTCATTCCAGTGTGATTCCAAATGGAATAGTGTCTGAATTATGTATTAACAGAATGCACATTTACCATTCATCACACAAGTACGGCATTTACAGCAATACAAAAACACCTGTAGGACAGCGACTAGAACGTCAGCTGATGACTGAAAAATGAAGTGAAGAAAAAGGTTCTCATTAATGTGAATCTATTGAAAGGCTTCTTGGTTTTAGAAATACTGAATTTTATGTAAAAGGTAGAAGAAAGAAAACACTAAAAACTACAGTAAAACTTACACAAGGCTTTTTACAATGTTGTCAAACAATGAATTTTTTATTAAGAAAGCTATCCAAAGACTCAGACAATAACTTAAGTTTGGAGACATCTAATACAAGGCTGGGCAGGAGCAATCAGGGATTTTAAGGAAAAAAAAATGTATGGTAGAGAAATGTCTAGTTTTAATTATGACTTCTGTCACATATATAGGCGGATGGTGAGCAATTGATACATTGGGTTTTCCTAAATTGGCAATCTTTGCACATATTAATCAAAACCTTACAAGTTCAAAGGAGCAGATGCACTTGCCACAATGTTTGCTGTTTCCTAAAAGCCCATAAGCAGTCTACTGCAAGCCAAGAGACACAACCTGGGTTTTATTTTTGTGTCTCTTAAGGTGTCAGTTCATTTGGCCTGAGCAACCAGATATGAAGTAATCCTCCTATAAATACTTATACTTTCCTTGATGAGTTGATCATAGTTTTCAAGTCCTTGACACCTAAAAGCACTCAATGAAATGAATGACATTACCACTGTTGGTACAGACACCCCTTGCAAACTCCAAAATGTCACCTTGACATACAGCTGCTACCACAGTCGCTCAGGGACCCCACGGCCATTATATTTCCAGAGCTCATTTGTATATTGTTCCTCTGCTACAGCCACCAGATCTCCTACCACAGCTCACCTCTGTCCACTCTCACATGGCAGGTGCAGGCAGAGGCACAGTCGGCTCAGTGGGACGCTGAGGATGCTGCCACTAACCCTGACAACTCAGCTGTCAATGGGGCCTCAACTACAGCAAAAAACCCCAGCAACTCACCTTTGTCTGCTGTAACCCCATAAATTCATATACAAAACCCAGAGCAAACTAATCTGTCCCTTTGATTACAACTCTAAATTAGGAATAGCTAAAAGAAAGCAAAGACAGCACAGAACAGAACAACAACCTCAACAACACTTAATTGCACACAGATTATGATGAAGATAAAATGATTTCCTACTCTTTCCAAACAAACAAAATATGAATTGAGTTCCTAAGTCACAGGAAGGAAACAATTTTGTCATCTAAAGTGGACTCTAATGACTAGGGACATTAAAAATAGAAGGGTGGAAGTTTTTAAATTCGTTAGGAACTTTCTCTTTTCATATATAACATGTTCCCAGATAGATGCATTTGCAAGAAAATGGCCTCACATATATGCTATTTTAAGAAGAATTCCTTGGAAAAAGTATCTCACATGAAAATGTAATGAAAATTCTTAAAGTGCCTCTATTTAAATAGTGCAATTTTTAATACAGAAAACAGCAATACTAATTTAACAATACAGAGAACTTAAGCAACAGGCATAATGATCTAACAGAAATCTTAAAAAAATACTCTTTTCACTTGTTTTCAATTTATATAAAGAGAAGTCTAGTTTCGAGAATATGCCATTCCTTTCTCTTTTTGGTTTTGATATCCAGGGAAGAGAATTATTGACTGAGAGTTGCTGTGACAGCACTCAAAGATCTCCACAAAGCTCAGCCATCACTAGCTGAAAGTCAATGCTTCATTTTAGCAGGGTTTGAGATGTTAATGCCACGATGCTTCTCTGCAAGGTAAAGAAAACTTAGTTTATTCTGTCCAATTCTGACAATATGTCAGATGCATTTTCTGTGAAAGCCAATCGATATTTTAACAGTTCTTTACTATCATGACTGGTGCTTGTTTGCAGATCACTCTAATTCTATGCACAGAGACTAACTTGTGTGCTCCAAAACCTGCTCCTAAAATGAACTTACACGGGTGTTTGCTTTCTTTTAACATTTCCATTCATGGCACAAATTCATCCTCAATGTACCACTGACAATATGATAAATATTTACTCTATGAAGTTCTATGCAGCTCAAGAAACTCCTGGTAAGAGGCTGCACATCATCAGTTGCCATCTGATGTGCTAATCTACTACATCATGCTCCTGTGCCAGACCTGCAGTTCTTGGCTCCCTGTCACTCCACATAGTTTCTTTAATACATTAAAGAAGCAGGAAGTATGCCATTTTCCATAGGATAATTAGCAACAGTGACCACAAAAAAGGAGCACATATCATCTTTGTCTCAAGTAAATAAGCTGTAAAATATATGACACATAACCATATATAAGCTTCTCTTTTAATACCATAGCATCCTGAATCCACATTTGGATCATCTAAGTCCATCAAGACCCTAAAGTTAACTGAGAGGTTTTCCTGCTCCACAGATTTCCAAATACACTTTAAAGCTTGAGACACAGCAACAAAGTAAAGAAACAAAAAATAAAGACAACAGCTCCAACGGTGGAAAACACAGCTATTTTCAGCTATCTTTCCTAACCCCCCGTACAACATATTTACCTAACAACATTTAATCATGGGTTAAACTCCAACCTCTGTCTCAAAGAACCTGAGTAAAAACCAAAGCAAGGTACAAACTATTTCATTTGTCTCATGTTATTCTACTTCCCAAACCTTGAATCACACATTCATCTTAGAGCAGTATGTAAGTATAAAACATCTTGTTTAGAAAGGCCTGAGTATATATAACAGACATTTTTTAGATAAATATCAGTCATAAACCTGGTTTCACAGAAATTGAGCATTTTAGAAAGATTCAAAATGAGCTACATTAAATTCCTAGAACTGTGTTCAAGTTCTTTGCTAGGGACTAGGTCACAACAGTGCTGGGATCACCCCACCCATGAAAAGCCTCATTGCACCAGGGATCTGTTAAAGCTCACAGAGAGAAAAGACAAAAACCTTCTTCTTTAAGAAGAGTCTTTCCATGACCTGTTGCAGGACTCCACTTTATTTTTCATCTCTTAAAACAGAGATTAAAAAACCCAGAATTTTTCAGATGTGTGCTTTTAAAGTGGAGACAGCCCCTTGTACTAACACAGATCTTCCCCTACACACCAGCCCTTTCATTTAGACAGAAGATACCAACTGAGAAGCTGATATGATAAAACTCACCAGCTGGTCCTCCAAAATTCCTCATTCTACACACCCATATGCAAAACTATACACACAATGCCACAAATGTCAATCAGAACTCTTGGAAATAGAACATGGGAGGTTATTTTTAAGAGTAGGATGTTAATCTCAGCATAAAGTAGCCAAGTCCAAAAGCAGCAACCTTGAGCATTCTACACCTGGCCTCTACATAAGAGGATACACTCCATAATGCTCTCAGCCAAAAAAACTAGATCTAAATGTACAGAGATCTGTCCACAGTGCACATTACCCATCCTGCGAAAAAATCTCATTTCTTTTTTCAATCACTGATACCTGACAACAATAGGAGGAAAAAAAATCCCACCTAAATTCCTGGGGTTTTTAACAATGGTTGCTTAAGCAAAATAAAAACTGGAAAAGTTTTTTACACAAGGTTTTTTAGAGCACTGGGTAAGTCTAAGAATAACACCAGCAGTGTTAACAACTTGCAATCTCCCTTCCCAAACAGCAGCCTGCCTGCTCTCTATCCAAGCTGAGTTTCACACACCTTTTCACAGGAGATACAGAAGAACAGGCAACCAAGCTTTTCCCAATTAGTCAACGACATCATGGTGATGCAAGCAAATACCAGAGCAACACTACCTATAAACTGACCACCAGACAGACTGGCAAGCAAGTTCACTTCTTCATCCTTATCCATCCAGTTACAGTACTATTTTCTCCAAAAACAGCTGATATATTTTCTGAGATTAATGCAATTTGAGCTAAAAACTTAATGTGTCAAACTCCATTTTGTTTTGCTTCAGAGTCCTACAAAAAAAAGTGCAAGAAAGACAGCATAGGCACTATTTCAATGAGTAAGTTACAGGGATCTGCTAAAATACATCCCCTTCAATATTCCTCCTCTTATCTACAAAACCAAACTAAGTAATGACTCATGGTCGGGGAATTATTCTATTACTCAATTATTTCTTCACAGGTTGGCAGTAAATAAATGAAAACCAATGATCACACAGCTTCTCTCTACATTATCTTCTCTACTGTATGTGTGTAGCATATGGTACACAGCTAAAGGTTCCCTGTTTATGGCCAAAATTATGGAGAACCATTCATTTATTCCTGATAGGAGACTGCAATGGGCTTGAGTGCTGTCTTGAGCTCACATGTGAACACGTACTGGTTATGAAAGAAGGACCAGTGAGAATGTCAAGCAAACCTCAAACAGTACTGATATATGAAAAATAAATCACCATTATGATCAAGCAGACACGGAAGCTACAAAGACCCGAGGGGGCAGGATTTTAAAAAACTTTTGTGTCACTTCAGAGCTTCTTGAGAGTTCCCCCAGAAACGCTTATTATCAAATTTAACGAAAATATCAAGTTAATTTTCAGTTCACCAAGAGATGAACTATGACACAAACTGCTGACCCAGCCAAGAGGCCATTTTCTCTTGGTGGCGCTGTGTTCTTGAGGGGGAGAACGGGCAGCGGGAGGGCCCGCCGCCGGCTCCTGGGGACGGGGGGGTCCGAGCCCTGGGGACGGGGGGGTCCGAGCCCTGGGGACGGGGGGGTCCGAGCCCGCGGAGCGGAGGCGGCCGGCTGGGGCACTCGGCGGGGAGGCTCGGGGAGGCCGGCGGGGCGCTCCGGGCGAGGTGCGCGTTCACCGCCGGACCTGCGGGCACCTCGGGGCCGAGCACTGTTGGCCGCTCAGGCGGGCCGGCCGCCCACAGCCCGGGAAGGCAGAACCGCCGCCCCTCGCCCCAGCTCCCCGGGCCCGCTGGGGACCGCCGGTCCGCCCCAGGCCCGCCGCGCTGCGGGGCTCCGGGAGCGCCGCCTATCCCCGCGCCCCGGGGGCCGGTCGGTGCCGGCACGGCCCCTGCCGCGGGAGGGGAGCGCCGGCTGCGCGGCGTTACCTTCCCAAGTCACGTCGTACATCTCCGACACCTTCGCCATCTTGGCACCGCCCCGTGACGCGCGCGCTGACGGGCCCGGCCGTCATTGGCGGGAGGCGGGAGCGGGGCCGGCCCTGAGTCCCCTCTGCTCCCGCCCGTGGCGTCGCGGCCGGGAAGAGCCTCGTCCCATGGGACGGGAGCCTCCGAAGGGCTGGAGCTGGCGGGGCCGGAGCACCAGGCAGCCGGCGCCTGCCCCGCCGGGGCTCGGGGCTGTGCCGGTCTGTGTTCACTCCGGGGCCTCGCCGACGGGGCACCTGCACGATCCCCGGTCCTGTCCCGCCCGCAGGCCGAGGGGCCTTGCCGGGGTTAAAACCTCTGAGCCCAAGCTGAGGGCTGCAGGTTAATTTCCTGTTTTATATTCCACATAACTTGGCCACGTCCAGGTTGTGCACCTGGAACGCGGCGCGCGAGGAGGCGCCTGGTGTGGTTTGGGTCCGGCGTGAGCAGTGCCCGAGCGTTTCCTGCCCCGGGATCCTGCAGGCGCCACGACCCGTCGAGGATGAAACGTCGGTTTCTCTGCACTGAAACACCACGTAACAAATTCGTGTCCACGGGTCGGAGGAGCCCTGAGGGGGTCACAGGCAAGAGTGGGGCTGTGGGCTGCCAGCCGTGCCCACCTCTGTGTCCTCTCCACGGTTTATCTTCCGACATCACGGCTTCTGCCGACCACCAGACACAAAGATGGTTTCTTAGTAATGAGGCTCCCCGTTTCAGTCCCGATTTCACTGTTGAAATCGGATAAATGTATTCAGCAGATAAATGTGCCTCCGCTGAAGATGTTAAAAAAAAAAAAAAAAGTGATGGATTTTTAATTTCATGTATGGTCTAGTTGACATGGAGGTGTTTAGTCATAGGTTGGACTTGATCTCAGAGATCTTTTCCAACGTAATTGCTTCTGTGATTCTATATGCAAAAGGCACTGGATTTTAGAAAATATCACCAGAAACGTAATTGCCTTGACATTTAACTCTGATAAGGTCTCTTATGGGAAATGCTTCAGACTCCACATTCAAAATTAATCCCCTAGCTCCATCAACAAATGAACTCTAGAATCAAGAATGCTGTTTCTGTATTCATTATGTTCCTTCCCCTGACTAGAATAAACTACTAATTCTTAATAATATCTACAGTGTAATTAAATGTCACAATTTTGACAGCTAAAAGGCCTCAACTGGAATTCAAATGGTGATCTAAAAATACTGTATATGCCTAAACTTTCTTTCCTCTAAAGTGGTTTTTGATTTTCTAGGTGACTGAATTGTTTAGGCCTTGTATAGCGCAGCTGTACTTCCAGATGATTTTAAAATATCAGTGTCTGTATTATCTGAACATTTCCAAAAACATTGATGTATTTATTCTCATAGTATATGAGTAGGGAACTGCTATTCCTGTTTTACAGGTAAAGGAGTGACTATGGAATGGTTACAGGCTAGATCCATAAAGGATTTAGCACACACCTGCTCTGCACATTACGGGGTAACACTGAAATAGCTGAGGTAAAATGAAAAATTAACTTGCAGAGTTCAGTGCTGCTGGATTGCTGAGCTAGCTATAATGCCTAATGTGAGACAGACAGAACTTTTAAGCATATAAATCCAAAATTTGATGCTTTTAAAAGCCCTGTCAGCTGTCACCTAGTGCTGAAGGAGCTGAAATTTCAGAAACATGTGTTTGAAGTGTTTGGGAGGAGTTTGAACTTGCTGTTCCCTGGACATCTAGCTTTATACTTCTGCACCTGCCCACAACTTCGTCTCGGCAAGAGACTGGAGACGGTACCCCACAGGGGCTCAGTCTCGTTACTGTTCTCAGAAATTACTCTGATCTCTCTCCTAGCTAGATTTAGGCAATTCCCCAGTTATTCTGGATTCCTTCCCGAGACGTGCAGCCCTCCACCTGCACTGTAAGACGAGACCGGGTCCTGAAGTTATGCACTGTAAGTGTTGCCTCCTGCCTTTCTTGGACATAGTCTCGAACGACTTGCCTAAAATCACATACACTGTGTTCTGCCGAGCTCAAGGCTGACCCTTCCACTGCATACCTCTGCTCTTACTGTGGAGTAGAAAACCATCCACACTCACCAAGAGATGGGAATTATTGTTACAATATCCCCTTATGCCAGATACTGTTATAGTTGGAAACAGAAATGTTTTTGGTATTAAGCTTTTTCTTCTTGGAAACTAAAACAGTGGTTTTTAAAGCTGTTTTCTTATGCCAAGGAGCTTCATCATTTAATTCAAAGTTTAAAGTGTTTTGTTAATAAAGCTTAAAATGCTCTAAAAAGGGAATAGTCATGTGAAATCTCTTTTCTGGATCTGTCATTTTCTGCTCTTGTGCCACTTCTGCAGGAACTAAGTGGAAAGGCAATGATCCCAATCTCACATATTAAGTTGTAAATGCACAGGTTTTTTGAGGGGATTATTTAAAAGTGCAGAAAAGTCACCACCTACTTTTTGTGGGTACCACAGCTAGTTCTACAGATTACCAAATGAAAATGAAAAAAAAAATATTTTTGGTGTGCTATTAAAAAAACCTTTCTCTTTTATTATGAAACCAGTGAGTCAGTTCAGTAATAATCCCATCAGAATTATGGTTCAGAAAAGTGATACCAGCCAAGGAAAAAAAAGCATAGTAATTTAACTCGCAGTTTACCAGTAAAGCAAAACATGGAAGTCTGTGTCCTGTGCATGAGATATGGGGCATATGGAGACATTTGGGCTCATCACCTACTAAATAGGATCTAGGATCTATTTTAGTTCAGTAATGGGGGTGGTGGTGTTAGTTTACTAATGTATCGGTGGTGGCATCCTTTTAGTAGGTAGGACACAGGAGAAAATAACTCCAGGATAGTCACAGCACAAGGAAGAATGTACATGTGTAGGATCTGTGTATGTTGTGAATGAATAAAGTGACAGTTTATCTTCTGTGTGAATCAATGATTCATTTGCTTGTTAAGATGCACTTTCCCACTGTGCAAGATATGGACAAACTTCGTTTTCTGTATGGACCATTTAAAGATACTATTGTCTTGTTTAGTGATGCTAAAGATCAGTCACAGAAGTTAAATTAGTGGATGAAAATTATAGGGAATTCAAAAAATTTGAATCATTAATCAATTTAAGGACTTTGCACTTTAATGTAGGTGCCTTTGAGTCTGACCCTACTTGGCATTCATCTGTTAGTGTTAGAACTTCAGATATTTTCTTGGATCAAATTTAAAACTTACCAAAGTGAAAAAAATAGGTAAGAAAATAAATTAATACATCTACTTTAAGGGAATTACTATGACAGGTAATATATAGAGGAGAACATTTTAACATGCTTTAAAGTTTTATCACAGCATCACCACAATAAGAAATGCCAAGTAAAAATTTTGTAAGTCATCTTGAAAAGTTTGAGGCATTTTCATATCATTTTGACCAGCACAAACTATTACATATTGGAACACATAGCAAAGCAGTATGATTTTGAATTTTTTATTCAGCGTTACTATTTACAGCCAATTTAAAATTAATTCCCTCTTTCTGACTCCTAAGCTAAAGGACAATCCTTAGGCTATAAATCTTCCTGGCTATTGACAACCACAACTGGAGAACATGCCAGAATCACATCATTCAGCATGCCGCGAAAAAAGGAAAAGAGGAGACACTTTCGGAAAGCTGGGGAAAACAAGAAATATAAATCAACTTGATGAATTGACATTGTTAACAATCCTTAAGCAAGTCAAACAACACTTCCTTTATGGCTTGATACTCTAAACTGTACCCTGAGAGCCTTCTGAGACTGATTTTAAAATGAGCGTGAGATGAACAAACACCACAGATCCAAGTTTCTGAGTCCATATGGTAAGGTAGTATATGCTTCAAAGTTCATGTTTACTAGCTGACTAACTGACAAGCTTGACACTGCTGTCCTAAAGACACTTCTCTGTGAGCTTAATTAATAATTTTTGCAGAGGCTTAACTGTACCTGTGGGCATTAACGAAGTGTAAGAATACAATAATTGTAATATAGTGCAGAGGCTTAAATTTGGTGCTGGAAGCTGCTGTTTCCCATAGCTAAAGTGAACAAATTTTCAGTAAGGACCAGCCTTTGCTGGGGTCAGGAGGGAGGTGAGGATGGGACATCAGGCCAGAGCAGCCTCCACTCCTGCTGGCCTCCTTCCTCTCCCAGTGAACACCAGGAATGGGGCCAGCCCTGCCGGGAGCAGAGTCAGGCCCTGCCACCCCAGCGCTCCATGACAGCTGCGCCAGGTGTGGAGGGAGCAGTCTCTGCACATCACTGGCTAATCTAATGCCACAGTTCTTATCCAATTTCTATCCCATTTTCCAGGCAGATGCTCCACTCTGCTTAGCAGGCTTGCAGGGCTCGGCAGTCTCATGCTTGCCATAGCAAGCAGCAATACCCCTCTGAGGGCAGAGCAGAAGAAATAAATGTCTTGCCCAGGTGGCTGCAGGGACAAGACCTTCTCTCTTGCACTAGAAAAGAGGACAAGAAGCAGTGGGATTGGAGAAAGCCCCTTGCCTGGGGCAGCAGACATGCCAGCACTCCCAAGCCATCAGTTCTAGGGGAAGCGGATGGGAAGAGCCAGAGGGAGGGCTTGGGGCCGGGGGTCTGCAGGTTCCATGGATTTCCTTCAAGGATGGTGGGGTCACGGCAGGCAGCTGTGTGCCTGTGGGCCTGCACTCAAGGAGGGTTGGATGTTCCCTCCTGCACTCACCTCTCCAGCTCCCAGCCCGGTTACTCATCTCCTCATAGCTGCAGTAGTGTGTCATATACATTTGGGGTCTTTTTTGACTGACTTGAAATAAATTGTACTGAAGTTAGGGGAATTACAGCACTCTCCCTGGGCTGAAGTCTGCTCTCGGAATGTTTCTTTAACGCCCTCCTGACATCCTGACCACTTAAAAATCTTCTCATTTCTGAACTACGTGTTTGTCTCACAAAGAATTCTCCTGTGCTTTCCCCCAGTCCTTATTTATTAACTTTGTTCCCTTTCCCAAGTTCTCTCCTTGTGTTCAGCTACATCTCATTATTTTTGTGGTGTTTCTGAGATGACTTTGTCTGGACAACCACTGGACTTGGAGAGAAAATGATCTCTTTGTAGGGCAGTATGTTTTATTCATGGATACAGTGGTTTGTGTTTCTACCATTAAAAAGAAAGATAGACCATAGTGAACACAGGGACTGGTTATCCTACCTGCCAAGGTAAAATGATGGTGAAGGCTTGATAGCTAATCCATTCTTACTTCAGCAGATGCAGAAGTGGCTTCCATGCTGTTCCTTGAGCAAGGCATCACTTCATACTGAGGAAAATAACCAGTTTCTGTATACATGTTTCTCAGTTTGGTATATTAGAGATGAAAAAATCAAAATACAGGGAGCTCATGTAACTTACCTAAACTCCTAAAGCAAAACAAAGGACTTACTCCCCATTTATGCACAATCTAACTATCTAAATTGAAATGCCTTATTCCTGGTTTTAACCATCTTGCTATTTGGTATTCACAGACATCAGTTTTACATGGTGCTCACCAACGTACACTGCCAGCTCCTGCTGTGGTTTGGATAAGTTTGTGAGGTGTCAAACTTTAATTTTTCTAGGTATTCCAGGCCTTCTCTTGCCTTGACTTCTTAGAAACTTAGTGGCAGTGTATATTTTGTTATTTGTCATTTAACCCCCTCATTTTCCTTACAAACTGTTCAGGGTTACTCGGCCAACTCTTATGAGTTTCCACACTGTCAGCTAGTTGCTGTTTTACCAGGCCAACCAATTGCTCTCATACTCAAATCACTGATTAGAAAAGTAGAGTCTGTGTCCAAAGAATGAGGCATGTGTGGAGGAGCTACAGGGAACACAAGCACTGCAGTAGTAAAGCACGTTAGTATTAGCAGCTTTACCAGAGCCACGAGCACAACAAACATATGAAACAGCTCAACTAGGAATCAAAAGAAATTCATTAGACGGCCAAGAATGAGTTGACTATGTACCCTGCTACAAAATCCTGAATTTAGACACTTGGTAGTCCTCTTCACACTAATCTTCTGTTTGCTTTGTCCAGTTCTTCTTCAGCCTGGGACTTCTTTGTGGAGACAGAAACAGACTTGAAGAGCAGTAGTAGAATATGGACACTGCAATAGCAGGTGTCCCTCAGCAAGTGCAGAGCTGTGCACTCTGACCCTGCTCCATGAGATGGTCTGGGGAGTTTCTCGGCAGATGCTTTTTGTAGCACAGCCTCAGTCGCACCCCGAGCTACCAGGCAGTCTCAATTTCTGTCCTCTTTGCTTGATCTTGGGAGAAAAATTTGAGAGGGGAGGAAGTTTTCTCATGGAAGGATAATGAAAACAGAGGATTCTGAGTTTCCTGGGGTGTCACTAGCTTTGACTTGGGATAGAAACTTTAGTGAATCATTTACACATCTCCCCACATCCTTGGTAATGTGGCTGCCAAATGACAGAAATAGTGTTTTAGAAGCACAAGCCAAGCTCAAAATGCCTCATAATAGTCAAAACTGTGATTCTAATTACCCTGACATTGAAACACACTAGAGCTGTTACATAAGATTAAAAAAGAATATACAATACATCATTACAATCTGCATGAGTAAGTGTTAACAGACTGCAGCTTCAGGAAAAAAAAAAGTTAATCAAAACAAGGCTGTGATTTTGCCTGCAAATAATGACTCCTTCCATGGAAACTATTCCTGCTAAAAGTCAGCAGTAGAAGGGCTCCTCTCACTTGACTTTAAATGCATGCAGTCTAGATGTCTATATACAACCTATTGATCTCAGGTTCAATTTATAGTCAGTGGAGCAAATTATGCATTTATGAGGTGCATTTCATCCTATAGAAGGTGTCCAGGGCATAAGCTGAATCACAACCGAAAGCAGATCTTTCTTTCCATTAACTGTAAAGGGAATCAAGAGGACTAACTCAGCTGCAGATGTCTTCATTGACAATGTCTGTGTTTAGTTAGAGGAACTCTCCATAGAGGAATATATCCTGTCCTTGCTTAAGCTTGCTGCAGCCACTGAAAATGGGACAGAGGCCCCTGCTTTTAGGAAATATCTCTCTCTTAGGGAATGGGCTATTAAAGTTCTCAACACAAAGCTTCTGAGCATCTTCTTTCTTCACCCTGATGATGTTCTTCCTTTCTCTCACCATTGTAGAGAAGTGATATTTGCAAGTTTTTATAAATTTACTAATTGGTGAGTTAAGGAAACAATCGTGCCCCTTTGTTCCTATATAATATTTGCAGTCACCAGACTTGTAAAAAAGTGTCTTTGAAAAAGATTCTTCACTGGCATGAAGTGAAGTGCTTTTCCAGGCAGGAACTTTTGAAACATATATATGTTTTGAACAAGATGAGCAACTGAAAAGAAAGCAATGAAGCCCTGACTAGTCAAAGAGATCTTTTGTATGAGCCATAACTATGTCCCACTTTCAGGAAAATTGCAATCCACCAAGGAAAAAAAGATGATGAAGGTAATTAAATGTTGTAAGAGACTCCTTGGGCAAATTATGGAGTCTTTGTCACTGGAGGGTATTAAGAACAGACAAAACAGGAGTGATTGCATTAGGAGATGGAATTCATGTTTCTACGACTTCCTGTTACTCAATTGAAAAAGAATACCATAACTTACCTTCTAATATGACTGCAGCTGCTTTGCCTTTCAGTGTTCACCTCTGCATTACCCATCTTGGATACGAGTAATCATGATAAAACCATAAAATGCAAACTGTAGCTTTGTAATACTCAAGACAGGAGAGAAGAGGAAATTAGGAGAAACTATATCTACTTAATTTAAAACAAAACACTGAATGAACCATTTTTATTTCACACCGCAATGGGTGTGAATGGGGCTTTGTGGAGTGAGTTGCCTGCTGATCAACATGAATATGG